TGCGACATAAATGAAGCACCCAGGAAGGACAGCAACAGCACCCTTCTTGTGACACTGCTAGCCAGCCGGTATGTGCCAGCCCACCCCTCCACACCCCCTGCACTCCCCCTCAGCCCCAGCGTGCCGCAGGCGCTCAGACCCGCGGTGCATTTAGGATCGTGTACAATTATGGTATGAATCCAAAAATAGCCTGAAGAGCACTCATCTGGCCTGAACCTCCAGCAGAAGGGCAAAGGTTTTGCAGTGCCAGCCAACGTTCATCTAAAATAGAAACAGCCTGCCCCGAGGGGGCCAGGAAAGCCCCCAGCCCTGCCCGAAACACAGGGTGTCATGAGTGGGGGCTGCAAGGCGGGCATCCCAGCCCCCGGAGCCACGCTCCTGCCCTCTGGCTAATGCTGGTGCTCTCCTCTCCACTTCCCTGGGCTTGACTTCCCTGGAGGCACGCAGAGCTCCCAACAAATGGTATGTCAGAGCCTGACACCATCCTGAGGGGCAAAAGGAAGGGTTTTCCGAAAGCACAGAGGTGAATCACCTGCAGCCCTCGCGCTGTTTTGCTGAGGGAAGAAGGCTCCTCCTCTTCCGCACCTCTCTCTGATGCCTTAAGCAGCCAAGAGTGGAAAGCAGCTCTGTCTGTATGGGCTGAAACAAAGGAGTTAAGTTTAACATCTTAGGAATTAATCGTTGCAATAGGACCCAGACCCAGGCAGGATTTGCATTTCTATCCCAGGCTTGGGCGGTGACTTTCAGGATGACAGAAAGACCCTTTCCCCGGGCCCCGTTTCAAATTCGGCAGCCTGGGTATTAATAGCGCATTGCCACAAGAGGCACGTAGTCCAGTACCGACTTCAAAACCCACAGGAAGCTGAGCAAGCACGCTCCATCAGCACTCACACCTTGAGAGGGAGCAGAGTTCCTTCCTTCAAAGCTATCTAGCGTACAGCTACCGGTAACCATGGTGTCAGCATCACTTCAGCTCTGCGCGTTCCCTCTCGCATGGGAACAGCGAAGTGAGGACAATGAAGCCAGTCACTGACTCCAAGGCAAACCAGCATGGAGGAGAAGTAAATCTGAGAATTGAAAGCGAAAAAGGTTAGGAGGCTTTTGGTTTTGCTGCATGAATATGATTAGAGGCTCAAATATTCTTAAATCTTTGAAGAACAGGGTGGAGCGGAAAGGAGAAAAATGGAATTGTTGTTTTTGCAGGGCCTGAAGGGTAATGGCAGTCCTCTCCTCAGCTACAGCAGCGTTGGATGAAGCACTGTCACTTACAGCACTTACAGAAGCCAGACTGAGCATGTGTAAACAAGAGTCAAACTAATTATCAAAGTGAAGTAGCTGCAAGGAGCGCAGTGCTGTAACACCCTCGCCTGTTTTGCAAGAAACATAATGCCTGCATCAGTCATTAAGTCGTGGCCAAGTGGAATGCTTCCTCCAGAAGAAGTTCCCATCATTAGAAAGTTGAGGCATAGGAAGGAAAGGCCTTGTTTAACCTGAAGAGACTGTTTATGCATCGATTAACGAGGCAGGGTGGGTCCAGGGTAAATTACTAGGAGCACACTCATTCTCACTCATGTCTGCACAAACTTCTCCCTGCGACCAACATTACTGGTTGTGCAACAGCCGGCGTCAAGAGAAGCAGAAACGAGGACCCCACAATCTTAAATTCTTGGCAGGTGTTTTTTAAAGCTCCTCCCTCAGACCACCACTACTCTTTTCTCACCGTTTCAAAGCTGCATGGATGTAAATAGAGACAGAAACATGGCTGAAGACGGACCAACTGGTTTCTCAACATGAGAAAGGGCTAAGGAATCTAGAAGTGACAGAGGAGTATTTGAAATTTTGAAAATTTGAATTTTGTCCAGCACTTTTTGGACAGCTGCCATCTACAAGCACAGCCCGTACACCTGCCTCACGGCTCACCGAAGATTAAAGGGTAACCACGCTGTATCTGCCTGCGAGCAACTCTCTGCTACACAGAGCAACTGGGATAATCAGCAGAAAGTTGAACGTACATACAAATGTTTGAGAGTCACCGCACAGGCTGGGGACCGGGGGGTGTCTGTATCTTTTCTCTGTGCCTCAAATCGCACATCACTTCTGCAGCTGAAGAAATGGCTTCAGCACTAACCAGCATCCTTCATCACTGCTCTTGCGTGCACTAAACAAAGATGACAAAACAAGGATACATCTGCATAGGATTTTATTAAAGTAGGCATCATCCACAACTTACAATATTTGAAAAAAAATATTCTTAACAACTTTTTTTTCCTGACAGCTACAATGCTCAAACATCATGAGAGAAGTCTCTGCCCAGAACTCAAACTGGTAGCAAAAGTTATACGTTTTGTACCACATCAAATTGGTTTAACACAGAAAATACTGTAACACAGTTACAACAGAAGTTAATGGGGAAGATAGGGGAAAAAAAGCACACGCGTCATTGGGTCACAGGTTGAAAACCAGAATTTCAAACAGGACTCAGACCACGTAGACATATCTAATCACATTGTTACCTCCAAACAACTCTCTGTTGCAATTGGGTTTATTTCAGATTTTGCAAAATAGAAGTTTCTTAAATGGCTGCTCCTAAACCAAGTCAGCAACCGGGGGGGTGGGGGCAGAATCAAAAAACCCACTTTTGTTCAAAATGACATGGGTTTGAATTTCACCTTCGCTGCACCACCTTATCCAAAGCTTTTGTGCAGTGTCACAACCAAGGCCTGTGTGTTTCAGAACGAACATTCTTGCTCTTCACTCTTGTTAGCATTAACTGGAGCTTTGCACAAGGGCGAGGGGAGCAGACCCCGTGACTTTGAGTGAAGCAAAGAAATAGAGCGAGACCCATCAACAACTCTTTATTTTAGACATCTCATGGAACGGAGGCACTGAGGAGTCCCCAGGGTCTGGCTAATGAAAGACTGAACGGACAAGACACTTCAGCTCGTATTAAAGCCCTTCACCTGACTGCCCAGCATAACAGTTCATGAGGAGATAATCCTCTTTTGGCAGGGCAGAGGACAAAACCTGCGCCAGCCTTTCCTTGGAGGGTATGAATGGAGGGCCAACTTTGCTGGCCCATTGAGCCAAATATTACACTTGAACAATGTGACAGTTACAACAGCGGCCAAAGTTTAAAAACTTGTCTTTTCAGAAATGTAAACAACATAAAAAGAAAAAGTTTCGACAACAGGCCACAACCTTAGAGGTTTTTGAGCTTAAATACCTGGGAAATGCATACTTTGCCAACAGATGAAACAGTAAGATACATACAAAAATCAAGAGATACAAGTTTAACAAATGTTTAAGATAACTGGGTTTCACCACAGAATCATCATTCGAAGGATACTTTCATGAGAAAACATGTTCCCTGCAGCATGTAGACTCCTTCACAAAGAGACAGAAATCTGGTCACGTCAGTTACCGCTTACTGAGGAAACACTGCAGGGTTACAGAGAACGTAACAGACTCGCAACTGCCCAAGCATTGTCACAGAAAACATAGCAAACAAGTTGTAGGCAAACAAACAAAAAAAAAAAATACTTGAACTTATTTACCTACACACGCTATTGGAGTATACAAGACAAAAAAGATGGAGAGGTTCAGATAGGGAATTTCCAGTCATTTTGAAAATGAACAGTATTTTTTTCTTTGAAAAAACAATAAAATCAAAGTTCCCAGATGCTGTTTCTCAAGGCATGCTATAGCTATAGTAGCCAATGGCCCAGATTCACATCCACGGAAACTGGTATTTTACCTCAAATGGCTTTCCTGTCTCTCCAGTTTGTCATTTCTCAAAGGCTCCTAAGTAGCTTTTGAGTAGACCTATCTTCCTTGCATGCATCTACTAAGATTCCCTCGTTAATCCCAGAATCTTCTGTGCATGAAACTCAACAAGCAGAACAGTCCTTAACTGGAGCTAAAAGATAGTTTCAGCTTCTGGATCACTCTCTAAAGAATAAAAGCATGTGACAGTAACACATCAATAGCATCTACAAATACACTTACAGTGCACAGAGGAAGTGTAGTGAACATGAACGGATTTCAAAGGCTGACCTGACTCTACCGTAAGGTTCCATCATCAGCTCACCTTTAAAACTTGTTCCAGGCAGTATGTCATCACGCTAGCACCACTAACGACCGGGATAACCAAAAGTAGTTTAAATAAACCCAGTAAACCCATACCTGGGCATTGCCTTCTTGAAATGCGCCCCAGATTCACATACACGTTAACAGCCTTTTGGATTTCAGATCTACCTCCAAGGTTAAACTGAAGGCAGCAGCACTTCCAAAGAACAGGACAAAGCTTAGCTTGTAAACCCTGTTTTTTCAAAGTGTAATAAGAATTCAAGTCCTACCCCCCTTCACATTTATAAGCATTGTAAGAATAATGCTACTTTGTATGCTCTATGTATAGAAAAGTGTATGTTTATACAGCACTATATATATATATACACATATATATATAAATAGGAACTATTGACCAAAGTTTGACTTCAAACTAGAATTGCAACGACCCCTGCAATTTGGAAACATGAAGTAGCTCTTCTGATCTCTCTTTCGTAAGCAAAGAGTAGAAAGGATCATATCTTACTACGATCTAACATCCTCCACCAGGAAAACGAAAAACGTATCATTAACTTTGCGGGATATGCCCGAAACACCACGTTTGACAATACTGCCCCGTGTTGTTTGCCAAATTTTTTGTAGGCAACAGGAATGATCGGAGAGTCATCAGCCAGGAGTAAGTGCTTTTGGGGTTTTTTTTCTAGCTGCTTAAGTGTGAAAGTTCTGTGTTTGTCATTGGTGCTGTGCTTGGAGACGCTACCAAATGATGTCGTTTATCTAATAGTACATTCCAGCTACAGTATGTTTCTGCCCAACTCTATTGCTACTTACAAAAAATAATAATTGACATGCTCTAAGACTCAGAAAATTATAAACTAATTTTGCCATTTCTTCCTGGTCCTCTGTGGAAATCTGGAAACATCTTACAAAGTATTTCAGTTAGCTTGAGCAATCCTGGAGTCAGACCCAAGGAAGCTGAACATTGTAGTCACCAACTCAGGGAGATCATAATCGTGTTTCCAACCTCAATTATTCCTGTCATCAAAGTTCATTGGCCAGCTGTCAGCTGCAGTGAAAAGAAAGAAGAAACACAGAGCATGAGGTTTAAGAAAAATTTCTTTAAACTTTAAGATGTATCATCACTGGCCATTTGAACTACTAAAGCTGAATTTCAAACTGTAAGACTTGAACCGTACAGGAGCAATTTGCAAGTGCCCAAAAAGAAAAGAGACTTTGTTGTGCTCTTAACGGAGAGCAATCTCATGTTTTTTCTCACTCACTGCCAAAGAAGCTGATACTAACCTATGGCCTGCCTGACTTCATCCACGCTGTAGGTCACCTGGAGTTCAGGAACATGCTTCTGCACCTCTTGCGCCAGCTCTTCGGGAGTGAAGCTCATGGCACTGATGTTGTACGTCCTCATGCTCAGTGCCTCTGCGGGGGCCTCCATGACCTCTAGAGTCGCTCTCAGACAGTCATCAATATACATCATAGGGAGACGGGTGTCTGGCTTTAGGTTGCATTGAAATTTGCCGGTCTTCATGGCATCATGGAAAATCTGGACAGCATAATCTGTAGAAAAGAACAATGGATTCCTGTACTCATCTGCCTCAATCTGTCATTCGCTTCATGACAGCCAACACCCCTCAGGCCACCGCCAGTCTCCTGTCTAAGGTCTAGCAGCAGAACTGTGTATGATTTACATTGTAAAAGTCATTCCGAACTATCCCAATGCTGTTCTAGCACTTGCACATTGCAGCAAGACAGCAGAGTTTAAAATAGTTTTTAAAGGAAATGGTCTCAATGAGCATAATTAATCCACAATTTCTCAGATACTCTTTAAATGTAAAGGCTACAAAATTATGCCCTAGGCTGGAGTGGACAAAAGTATTGTTGTAACACTGTTGAAATAGCATCTCTACACTGATGCTCTATACTGCCACAGATTACATTTCTACAAACACATTAAAAATGTTTGTATTGGCTTGTGTTTTTGCTGCTCTTGCCTGTAATCCTGAGAACTATGCACAAGTCACTTACCAGTTGTTCCCCCACCAGGCTGAGAGTCAGCGGATATAATTCCTGGATACCTCAGGCAGCGGAAGTCTAGGCCATACCGGTAATGATAGTACTATGGAGGGAAGAGAGAAACATAGCTTTACACATCAGGACTAGGCCACACAACTCATTGATTTCACAGGGAAAATCTGCCACAGGATGAACCTTCATTCTGCAGCTGTCCAATGAGAGGGATGAAAGAAAACGAACTACTGAACAGCCTCCATTCCCTGCCAGGGAGCTGAGCTCTCTGCTTGCCCTCTTCTAGTTTTCATCCACATCAGTAGATACTGATTCTTGATATGGATTGGCTTCTAACGTAAGGTCTAGATCTAGTGTTCAGAAACTGAAAATGCCTAGGTTTGTGAGACATTTCAGGTTAATACAGTCTTCAGACCTGCCACTGTCCTTCATCAATTTGAAGTGTGAAGAAACTGTACGCAAAAAATACCAGCTTTAACAATGTTACATTTCTAAAAACCTACAAAGCCAAAAGAGAAGTTGTGCATGTACAGACTCCCACAGCTTGGACTTCAGAGTCTTTCCCCCGCCTCCGCCAAAAGTCGTCATTGTCTAGCATGCTTTCGCAAGGTTTTGGACACTGTCATTTATGCAATGCCATTCATATTGGCAGATGAAGCAGAGAGGCCAAAGTCAAAAGAACCAGGGAAAGAAATGATATCGAAAGTCCAATGTTTGCCAGCTTCCAATTTTTGTCATTTTTCCAACAAAACTCGAAAGACATTTGTCCTTAAGAGCTGCCTCAGACTACTATTGAGTACTAAAGCCTGAAGGAAGGAAAGAATAAGGAAAAAACACTGCCGTGAGGAATCTTCCAAAAGCAGTGAAGATCTCCCAGAACTTGCGTGAAATAAATAAAAAATTCTCACTTCTCCCATGAGCTCAGCGTGAACCTTGGAGACTCCATAGATTGTCCTTGGTCTCTGAATGCAGAGGTCAGGAGTTGGATCTCGAGGAGAGGTGGGTCCAAAGGCTCCAATAGTGCTTGGAACAAAGAGTCTCAAGTTATGCTCAGATGCAATATCCAGAACATTGTGTAAACCTGGAACAAACAACGGGATTTATCAGAACATACGCTGCACTTTTGCAAGCCTCTGTAGGAGCCATGAAGTTGAAACCCTTGTCACATACCAGTAATATTTACAGCTCTGGCCAAAGGGACATTTGCTTCTCCAACAGCACTGAGCAAAGCGCTATAGTGGAAGAGCCAAGATATCCGATTATTCACCACTATCTCACGTAAATTCTTGTAGTCCAAGATATCCGCGTAGATAAAAGGACCTAGAAGAAATGGAACCAGTAGGAAATTGAATGCCAAGAAGAATGGAGGTCAAGAAAAGTTCTAGATGAAACTCAAAACTGCTGCTTCTTGACCATAACTCTATTCAGAATTTGATTGCACAGCAGAATGCACACCTAACAGCAGCAGTCAATAAATTTGTAAATAAGCAGGAGAAATGAAGGGAAACAGCTACCTTCACCTCAACAAAAGGCTGATGCAAGAACTCCTGTTTTATCCAGTCAATAGCATGAAAACAGGGAACATCTAGTGTACACTATTTAAATATCTAAATACATCATTAAACAGTAAAGAAAAACTTACGCAAGTTTCTAATGAAATAAAAGAATCCAAAAAACCTACTCTACATCCATCTTACCATAAAATTTGTCTGAGCGTGGAAAAATAAAGCACAAATTTAATTTCCAATTTGTTCCCTCCAAAAGAATAAATGCATCTCTTTTTACAGCAGGAGCAAAACAGCCAAGCTAAGCTTGACTCAAGTAGTTATTCTGGTCAACAAAGTGACAAAGAAACAGTGAAAAAATGCAAAGAAAAATATTTAGAAAAAGGGAATAACTAACGGAAGAAATCAATGTCTTGGCAAGATTTCAAAGCAGGAAGGCATTATCCAGACATTTCGAACAGCAACTTGTTCAGGTTCATCCACATATTGCTTAGACTTTGGTGATTAGTCTATCAACATCAGAAGTAAAGTCAAAATTTTTTTCCATGTGCTCCCCCAGTCACTTACCACTATAAAAAACATTATCTGCAGGCTTTCTAATGTCAGACAAGATCACGTTGTTCTTTCCAAAGCGTTTCCTGTATAAAAATACCCACACAGTACAGTGAGTCCACATTCTTCAAGGTAATTTAGAAGTTGCTATGCTGCTATTTTGTTTATCAGGAGATACATCAGAAGAACAATAATTTCCGCAATGAAATCAGCTACTGCACTTAAAAAAACCCACCAGTCCCTTAAATGTCAATACAGCATCTTAGAAAATTAGTAAACTTCTTCTAGCAGCAGTGAAAGATGGCATAAGGATAGAGAAATCTTATAGAAAATGAAAATACATTAAGAAAGACCTTCCTATCCTCTTCTTTCTGAAAATTTTAGCCAGAGATAATCTACTCCCCTGTGGACAACAAAAATCCACTGGGGTCGCTGTAACTGCAGCTACTTTTACATCAACAAAGTAAATACAACCGAGTAATCTCTGCCTCATGCTTTTCTAATCAGCACAAGGCTGTAGCAGAGAGCAAGTCTGATGGCACAGAAGAACATTCCAGCCTTCCGTTATTTGGATGATTTTTAAAGATATCACAGAAATGGTAGAAAACATTCAAACTGCAACACAGCGTCAAAGGCAGTGAGTTTGCTCACTTTTGGTCATAGACCAAATCCTCTGCAACAAACACTGTCTATGTGCAAACGATACTCTGGAGCTGAGTAGGCACGGATATGGACAACAATATGGACCAGGGAGAGCTCCCAGAACATTTTACATTACTTGAAAAGATCCCATGGAAAAAACAAGTTAACTGTGTATGTGACGCGGGGGAACAGAAAGAGCCAGAAGAAATATATTTTCAATTTACTCCTTTTGCTGTATCAGTTCATCTTTCACTAAATCATAAAAACTTCAAGATCTTGTATGCTAATCTTTATTTTTGTTTGTGCTTTACTAAATAGGGCACCTTATTCCTGAAGTTACTTAACTGAAATACTGCAAAGCCCAGCAGCAGGGTAGTTAGCAAAGGACTATATATTTTTTCAAGTGGACGTTTGTACTTTTTTCTCTCCCGTAGTACCAGCATAAAAATCACAGCCTTTGTCTCTCTATTGAGCACTCAAATCCAGCCGTATTTGACTAGACCAAAAAAGAGAAAAGGAAAACTGACCACCCTCTGAGGATTCAGACTGTGAATACTTCCATTGAACTGGAAGCAAACTGAACTCAGGAGCTAGTCTCTTAAACGTAATTATGTTACATTGGGAATCGTGACCAATGTACACACAGAAAGTACGTCAGTGAACCTAAACCAAGCACAGGAGTAAAAAATAAAGAGATGGTAAAAATTTAAAGTTATTTATGAAACTAAGAGGCAAGAAAAAAAAAAAAATCTGCAATCGTCACTAGGATTCTTTTAAAAACCACTTTCCAGAAAATTATTGCTTCTAGAAGTCATGGCTAAAGCTTGAATTCCTCACTAACAGCAAGTCAGAGAATCATGACGTACCTCAGAAGCTTAGCAAGTCCCACTCCAAGCTGGCCAAGACCACCTAAAAAGCAACACGCAAGAGACAAAAATCAGAGAAAAAGTGATATCAAAATACAGAGTTCCATTATTATATGTATCACATCAGAAATGAGTGCTATTTTTCTTAGCGAGTCAGAAAGCTTTTACACTTTTCTCAAGGAAAAACCAATGAACTGTTTTTAGTAGATTTCTGGAATAAAAATAGTAGGACAGTTCACCTGGGACTCTGATCCTATCACTGTACGGGAAAGACCATCACAATTCCAGGGTATTTGAGTATTTTTGCTTCCAGCATTCTGCTCACCAGGGAGGGAGGAGGGGAGTGGGGGACTCAACTGAGAAGCTGGAACAGGAATACAGTTATGACAGGAATGCTGACCTGTAATTAGCACCCGAGGATGATCGGACTCGGAAAAAGAGACGGAGTGAAAGCTAGCGTCGGAGGCCACCTGGCGGGGTGAGACTCCAATGCATCGAACAGGCACAACGGAAATCCCGCATCCACAACCAGAGCTCTGTAGCAGCTGGCTGACAGCTCTGCTTACGTTTTTGACAATTGGCATCTTCCTCCTTTAAACGTGCTGTGAGAACAAGAGAAAAAGATTAGTCACAAATGGCTCAACCGTATTAAAACATTTTAGACACTCCCTCCGAAAACGCTGAAGGGTTTCAGAGAAGTTTGATGCAATCCAAGTCCTAGGTGACGTGCCAACTGAGAGCCACGTCAGCAGCCTGCGGAGTAACATGAATAGAGGTAATGTATTCACCAGGGTGAGCTGAAGAAAATATCCACAGCCCCAGCACAGAGTCCAGTATAATGAACAGTGCGAGTATGGTTCAAGTCTAAGCCTTTTTAAAACAGTCACTAGAAACCCTGATTTCAAGCACAAAAGACAACAAGTCCAGAATTCAGCAAGTTCAGCTGCTATGATTACACAGCTCCACTGTAGGTGCTTTTGAGTGAAAGTTTTGCAGACTGCCATGAATAAGCAAGCCTTCTTAGTATTGCATCAGCAGGATGCAGCTAAGCCAACAGAGGCAGCAGTAAATCTCTTTAAAAAGCACTGCTTGGTTCAAACTTAATATGCATGATGGACAGTACCTGGGAAGCGAACAAAGGAGAAGTGGTATTTACCCAGGACTCGTGAAAATGTCCTAATTACTCCACAGAAAAAAAGACATGATTTGCTTGCAAATCATATTGCAAAAATATCCCTAAGTTACCCTGACCTACATGCAAGTTTGGTTTTCTTTCTCTCCGAATCTTTCATACTGGAGGAGGAAATGGAGAAGAACGTACCCCAAATAAATCACACATGCATCCACAAATGGCCTCTCCTGAAGTTCCAGTTTACTTCTTTCAAATACAATTCTTAAAGTGCAGTTACTTAAATTCTTCCTTATCCCCCTTCAAAAAACTTTTAACTCTCTTTCGCAAAGTGACAGAGTGAGTAAACTCCCATTTTAAATTTAAAACTAGCTTGCTTGAGATTACCCTGTCAATTCCTTTCTCATATGCATGCTTGTTTCATATATTATAAAAAAGAGAGTTAGGGCGAAGGAAGGCCACAACAAGAAATTACAGCAGCTAATTGCTGCAGATGAATTCCAGCACTACCGATTCTAGCATGCACAGAAAAGCAAACAAGTAATTAACATGGGTGTTCTTTTCTCTTACGGAAAACACACAAGGCTGAGAATTTTCTGATAGTTTAGGGAGTCCTGCTATTTAAATACAGAAGACTTGCTAAACTACCTATCACATGCTTATTAATAAGATACTCCACCCCCCCCAAAAAGTGCATTATTAAAAATCACATTTGCATATTAAAACTGAGCAAAGAGACTTATTCTGAGATACATCTTCCCCCCCCCGCCTCCTTAGACTTGTTGAGCAAACCTTGCGAAGCATGGCCAGTTAGTATCCTGAGGAATTAGCCAAGCCTCTGCTGCACCTCACAGCCACAAACCCATCAGAGGGATCGGTCTCCCTGATGATAAGCTTGATCTATCAAAGCTGTATCTCCCCTGTCACCGTGCTACAGAAGCAACCGCTCTGTCTTTTCCCGGCTTTGCACAAGTCTCTTGCAATTCCTTCTTATATATGGACCCTATATACCTACATCTAACTCCACCTACAGAAGAAGCTATTCGTTGAGCACCAAAAGCAAAGCAGCCCCCTCTCCTGTGGACTCAACCTCAGAAGTAACTAATTGCTATCTAAGAGGTTACAACAACTTTCTCCTATCTTGATTCTCTAGCGTTGATTAGTACAATTCAGCTGATATTGCTGATGGGCTGTGAAGATGATAAAGGGACTGGAGCATCTCTCCTATGAGGAGAGGCTGAGAGAGCTGGGACTGTTCAGCCTGAAGAATATGAAGGGGGAAAAGATGGTGTAACTAGCTATGAAATTCTAAAAGTGGCCAGCAAGTGCACAGATATAAAAAGAAATCAATAGCACCCCTCAAAAACACTTCCCCAAACCAACCATGAGACAAAGGTCACCCTGACACAAAGCAATTACCTTGCAAGAGCAACTTGCACAGGAAAGCCCATTCTGCTAGCTCAGAGTTTCCCATTTTAAATAACTTCGTTATTAACAGCTCTGAACACAAAAAGTATTAATTTCACTGATGCAAAAAACTTCATTTTTTGATAGGTTTCTCTTTCTTACTATCCCAAAGAGGAATACTGTTAGGAACTGGAGAAAGAAATATATTCCAACTCCCCCTACCCCTTATTACCTTCTGACTAGTTTTTTCAGGCACTGGTTTTACTCATTGACCCAAACCGATACTGGAAACTAACCCTTTTGTTTTCTAGATTAAGAAAAATAAGGAAGCTTTATCCTGAAACATGGAAGTTATCTCCCCCACCCCACTAATTTAAATTAACAACCAACGCTAATTTGAAGGATTAAGCAATATACACTGGAATTTTCCCTCTTCTGTACTCACCTGTCCCTCAGCTGGTGATAGAGCAGAAGCAGAGTGGAGATGGCAATTTATAGGACACGGCCTCTTTCGAAAGCCAATCCAAACCTGACGGAAAGTAGGAGTTGTCCCACGCCTTAAAAAAAAAAAAAAGGGGGGGGGGGAGGGGGGAGGGAAAAGCATGAGAGCAGCAGCAGCCAGGGAAATATCTGTAAGTTTGTGATAAGCAGAGGACTCTGAAGCTACGGAACCAGCTCTTTAACTAACAGAACCACACAACCTAGGGTCATCTCTGAAGGACAGGTTTTAAAACTAATTGGCTGCAGTGCAAAGGATTAGTATAAAGCAAACACGTGTTGAAATGTAAAGTGACAATCTCCCTTGGATAGCAGGAAATTTCTGAGTTTTGTAAGAAGATTAAAGCACGAGGAGAGGGAGAAGAGAGGTAAAAAGAAACAGGTTCATAAAATGAATTCTTATGTTAACTGCCAGCGGCTGTCCCCTTGCAAGATTTCCAAAGTGTTACACAAGCAGCAAGCACCTGCTGCTCACATAAGAGACAAAAACATGTTTATAGAAGCTAATGGTTTCTTATGTATTAGTTATTAACAGAACATGATGGTGATAAGAAAGATAAGAAACTCAGGGGTTTGGTCTGGAAAATCCCGCAACAGTAAGCTTCAAAGAAAATGGGAAAGAGGGAGGGGAGAGAGAGAGGTCAGAACCAAACCCCGAATCTCCCACAGCATTTCTGGGGGCTGCACAGCTGCTGAGATGCCACGGGATGCTCCTCCACAGAGCTAATGTAAGATGTCCAAAACTTGCTCCTTTCAAAGGAAGTTAAGATACTCTCCGAGGCACAGGATCTCACAGATTCCCAACCACTAGTACTTTCAAACCAGCCAACATCCTCGGGTATATGGTACATACCAACGCACTAAACTCCAAGTTATCGTTCTCACGCTTGTCTCTGAAACACAGTTTCTGCTTCAGACCCGAGGAAGAGCTTACGCATCGGAAAGCTCCTCTACTTTTTCCAACTGCATTAAGAAAAGCTCGAGTGGAAAGATACTGCCCGCCTCGGGCATCCAGAAAATGAAGCACCTGCTGCCTTGCCTGTCCCACAGGAAAGCCTTACTCCCTGGTGCCCAAGTGCTGCCAGCTGGAAAGTCCATCGGATCACCGTATTTGGGAGTGCCGAAGCTACAACAACTGGGGGATACTCTCAGCTCAACCAACACTTAATGCAGCCCGGATAGACGGAAAGACCAAAGCCGTCACACCTCCCCTGTCGGCATTTCCTCTGGTTCAGAGAGCCCCGAACCAGGGTAGGGGGGACCCTGTGTCCCCTCCCCGTGTCCCCTGGCATGGTGGGGATGTGCCAGGGCAGGGCAGATGGGCGGCCGGGCTCGTGCCGTTCTCCCTGGCAGGCAGCTGTTGACTAACCTCAGTTAAAATAACCTTGACCCACGCTCACGACCTCCGCGGCTTGTTTTCCAGAGGTGACGCACGACTGCGGGATGACGCCGTGCCCCTCGCGAAGCTCGCCAAGGAACGACTTCAGCCTGAAACGCCAAGGGACCGACGAGAAATCTGACCTCAGCCACCGACTGGCGGGGGAAAAAAAAAAAAAAAAAGAAAAAAAGATTACACCAGCTACTGAACAGCATGATGCTCTTGGAGCGGGAAAGGACTGATGATCTTAGAGATCCTTTCCAATCTTTATGATTCCTGGTTTTAACGTTCATTAAACATAATCCAGCCACCAAGCCAGGAAACATGGAATTATTACCCTACCCTTCATTGGTTTAGTGGTGGGCTTGGCAGCATTAGGTTAACGGTTGGACTGGATGATCTTAAAGGTCTTT